CAAGCCGGTAATCAGACAGTCTCGTGTTGGGGGTGAAGGATTTTAAGCGCCGCAGATAGCGGAATATGATCCAATCAGATCACAGAAAGGGTCAGAGGGTATTTACTTGCTTAATGTCACGGGTGAGAGGGACGAGACGACGGTAGACGATGGAGCAATCGCACTGTACAAATTCGATCTTTGTCGCGAAGATCACGTGACAATGTGCTTTGGTCATAGACTTCGTATTTTTACTACTTAGAAGTAGTGTCAGTATGATCCTGATTATTTATTCAGACTGCAGCATGCCTCACGGCAGCTGGTAAGGCCCAAATACGAGCTATACGCAGCCCAAGCCACAAAAGTACTGTGACACCAACACACCCCTGGGGTTCAATTCAAATAAGACAAGTCAGTATGGATTGGAGCGCTCGCACGGATTCGGAACCTTGACACACCTTTTGGACACACCCTTGGTCAGCGGAGAAACCATCCCCGTTTGATGTGGCCTCAATTTCAATCCTCGATTCAAATCGGCCAGAAGGCCCAATTGTTCTTCAATACAGATGGCTGCGCAAGGTAGTCAGGTTACTCACACTGTGGGTTGAAAATGCACACACCACAGTCTCTCTAATCTGTTGAACGAAACACCGTTCTTCTTGCTCTGAAATCAAGCTGACAGTAATTTCGCGGGTTCGATCAATTCAATTCAAAATGGTTTCATCAACGAATTAAATACTTTTCCACTTGTCCGTCCGTAGAGCATGAATTCCACCCAGCAAGAAATAGACCGCTATTCTAAATACTGGGAGCATTATTTTCTACATTTTCTTGTACTGGATCTATGGTACTTCATCCGGGATTTGTTATATTTTGTTCGACTTGAAACATACCATCGAACGATGGCTTTCGTTTCTGAGGCCGGGTTCATGGGATTGAAATTCAAACGTATCACGTTTTACTTGTCTTCGAATTTTTATCCGGACAGTTCCCAGTTCATTTCAGATTTACAATCCCACACTTTCGTGCGGCGGTTTTGGTTGCTGTCCCCTGGGCGACAAAGTCATATTCTATTTTCACTCTACTGTAATTACCTTGATTGACTGCACCGTTTGGCTACTGCAAGTATATCGCATCCTAGTCGAATGGATACACTTTGAATTACCCTCTCTGTCTCTCTGTCTGTATTGTGAAGTCCGTTGATTTCCGCAGATAACATGCAGCTCAAACATAGGCGATAAACAGGTGCACTGTGATATCGTGGGTCTAAAAGAGGTGTCCAGGTTCCAAAGTGGAGCAACTATTCTATGCCATACAACCTTACTTCCAGTGTTCATCAATACGAGACTGTACCTTGACGTGGCGTGATGGCTTGTGCACCTCTGTGACTCCACGAGCTACACAGGATGGCTTTTGTTGAGCCATAGATCTAATTATGCCTGGAAGGTCAATGGGTAGACATCAGACAAAGTCTAGTCCCCTGGTCCTCCATATTTGAGGATTTGACTTGAGTTGGCGTCTCAGCCGGTAAAAGATGTTGGAGGATTAATTGATCCAAGTAAATGAGCCTCCAATCCGCTGCCTTGCGGTTAGGTTCTTGTCAGAACTGAAGGCTTTGGTTGATAATGCTAATCGTTCGTTTGCTTAGTACTCCCTGGCAGTACCCATCCATAAAGCTCCGATCACATCTACCTCTCTCTCACACACACACGCCTTATTTTGACATGATTTAATCCCAAGACTGTGAAAAGTGTGGCGATGAGGGGAGGAATGATCGAAATAAAATTTCGTGCCGTTTCACGAGATTTTATTTCGATCATTC